GAGGGGAAGGGGATGGGGAAAGCCAGAGAGAGAAACATCAATGTAAGAGAGCCCCCCCTGATTAGTTGCCTCCGGCACATCCCCCAACCAGGGCTGGGAATCAACCCGCCAACCGAGATACCCGCCCTGGCTAAAAATTAACCCCGGGATCCTCAAGTCCCGGAGCCAATGCTTTATTCACGGAGCAAAACTGGCTAGGGCCAGACATTCTTTCTGGAGTTCTAATCCCTTTTGGGGCCCAGTAGTTGCTTTTATTATTATTGCTAGAGCCCCGGTGCACAAAAATTTGTCCACGGGGGGGGGGGGGGGGAGGGTGTCCCTCAGCCCGGCCTGTGCCCTCTCACAGTCTGGGACCCCTCGGGGGATGTCCACCTGCTGGCTTAGGCCTGCTCCCTGGGGGGATTGGGCCTAAGCTGGCAGTCAGACATCCCTCTGGCAACCCGGGAGCCCTCAGGGGATGTCCACTTGCCAGCGGGGGAACAGGCCTAAGCTGCAGTCGGACTTCCTTAGCGCTGCTGAGGAGGCGGGAGAAGCTTCCACCACCGCTGTACTGACAGCCGTCAGCCTGGCTTGTGGCTGAGCAGAGCTCCCCCTGTGGGAGCGCACTTACCACCAGTGGACAGCTCCTGCATTGAGCGTCTGCCCCCTGGTGGTCAGTGTGTGTCATAGTGACCAGTCATTCTCAGTCGTTCTGCTTTTAGGGTCAATTTGCATATTCCCTTTTATTATATAGGATAGAGGCCTGGTGCACGGGTGGGGGCCGCTGGGTTGCCTGGCCAGTCTGGGTGAGGGGCTGAGGGCCGTTTTCAGACTGGCCACACCTGTTCAGGGTGGGGGTCCCTGCTGAAGTGCCTGGCCAGCCTGGGTAAGGGGCTGGTGGCTGTTTGCAGGCTGGCCACAGCCCCTTCAGTGTGGGGGTCCCCGCTGGGGTGCCTGGTCAGCCTGGGTGAGGGGCTGAGGGCCGTTTGCACGCTGGCCAAGGCCCCCAATGGGGACCCTCACCCCATGAGGGTGTGGCCATCCTGGGTGAGGGGCTGATGGCTGTTTGCAGGCTGGCCACAGCCCCCAGCCACCCAAGCTTCCAGTAGAGGCTGGCTGGAAGCTGGTATCTGGGATTTATTTATCTTCTATAATTAAAACTTTGTTGCCTTGAGTGGAGCCCACAGCTGGCCAAGCTTGGCTTCCTCCATCGCCGGGGCAACCAAGCCTCCTGCTTGCTCCAGCTTTGTGGCTGCCGGCCGCCATCTTGGTTGGGTTAATTTGCATATAGCCACTCTCATTGGCTGGTGGGCGTGGCTTGTGAGTGTAGCAGAGGTATGGTCAATTTGCATGTTTCTCTTTTATTAGATAAGATAAGTAGTACCTTATAAGAGAAAAAAGCCTGTATAGAAAGTCAGCTAGGGCAAGACCTGTAGGAGATGGGACTGAACCAAAGAGCCAAATCTCTAGATATGTGTGCTCCAGATTGGAAGTGATATGGATGGGTGGGAAACTGGGAGGAGAACCAAAAAGGCCTAGAAGCGTCAGGAAAGCATCACAGATGAGGCATTGGAGCAATTTGAGCACAGAAAAGAATAAAGGAAGTTTCAAAGCCAGAAGGAACACAGCATGTGTATGTAACGGAGGGTGGTTGTGAAAAGAGTAGCATGGAAAGGTTTGAATAGGTGACCTTCAAGGTACTTTTCAATCCTACGTGCCTGCAGAGTGGAAGCTGTTGGTCTGGGAAAAGTCTGGACCATAGAGATATCCCAACCAAAACATACACATGCCAGCAGTAATAGTGGCTCACTTAGGTGTGATTTCTTGTGCAGAGGTCCTGCTTTTCCCAGTTAATTAATGAATGTAGTCCAAGTCACCTCATTACACAGATCGGGAAACAGGATTTACCCAGGTGTTATGCTACAAGTCAGTAGCAAGTCTGCAAGTCAGAGCTGAGGCCAAAATCCAGATACACTGTCTTTACTCCTGTGCTCTTTCTACAGTGTTCCATTAGATAGCAATATTGCAAAAAGCATGTTATTAGATACATAGAAAAAATTTGGCTTTTGTTTTCCCCAGGTGAAAAATAAAAGATACCAGTGGCAATTAGTTGTCAGGCATGGTGCTGTGTTTTTTTGTAAAAGTTACTTCATTTGACACAGCAGTCTTTGAAGGTGGAGGTATAATATCCTTATTTCACAGATAACAAAGACATTGAGGCTCTGAGGAGCAAAATGACTTATCCAAAGTCACATGGTTTGTTGATGTTGGGGCAGAGATTTGGACACATGTCTCATGAGTCCAAAGGCCACCATCTTTCCACCAACCTGACCTGTGACTGGCAAACCCGAGAAAGGAGATGCATTTTAAGATTCATACCACCCTTGCACCTCTGTGGTCAGACTAGACAGCTCGAGATATCAGGTAGCTAATAATAAACAACAGTGATACGGCAATGTCAAGTACCTGGGAATATTTCTTATTAATCATACTAATGGGCCACCGTGAGAGGAAAGAGTTTCTCTCTGACTTTTCCTCTAATAGGGCTGGAAGCTTTTCAAGAGCTTCCCCCAGCCAGCCAATATCAATTCAATTTGAGCCAGTGTCCTCTTGCAACATGAAATTAGCCCTGCAGAGAAGGTCCCCAGTTTCCCAGTAGAGTCACTAGCCCCCAGCCTTGCCCCCTGTGACCAGTGACCAGAGACCACTCATATGTCTGCCTGTGGGGTGCAGAGAAAGAACAGCCCCCTCAGACTATATGGCCCTTCCATGAATGGCTCACAGTTCAAACTTGATGCACCTAGAAGAAACTATCCATCTTCCACCCACCCATGCCTCCATCAGTGACCAGGTGCCTGGTTCTATGTGAGGTTCTGCAAGGGGTGCTCACCCTCTTCCTTCCCAGGAGCTCTCCTTCCCAGTGGCTCTGTCTGCTCATTGTTTTGCTGTTAGCACCGTCCTTTGTGTGAACCATGTCATCATCTTTAACTCTCCCCTGATTCCTGCCAGATGATCATCAAGCCCTGCTCTCTGACTGTTTGTCCTCACAGCTTCTCTCCCTCCTACTTCCACTGCCAGTGCCCTAGGTCAGCCCTCACAAACTCTCCCTGGTTTCCCTGCCTCCAGGCTGTCTCATCCAGGCCATCCTCCATGTGGCCACCCTCCACACGGGCACCATAGTGATCTTCAAAAATGCAGCCTTCACCTGTGCTCAGTCATCAGGTGACCCTTTCCGCCCAACACACACACTTAACCTTTGCAGCCTGTTCTCGCAGGTCCTCAGCACAGCCCTTCCCCTTTGAACCAGGCTTGTCTCACCACATGCACACAGCACAGTGTGCTCACTTTTGTCTCTGCATGAAGTCCTCCCTTGATCTCTCCTGCTGTCCTTGTGCTTTCTTCTTCCCCCAAGCTCCAGTAGTGCCAGAGATCCTCAGTGTTCATCTGGCATCCCTTCCATTCCTGATTTGTCTTGTCAACTGCTGCTTTTTTTTTCTTTTTAGCCATTCCAGGCTGGCTGTAGTTGTTCCCAGAGAGGGATCACACTTTTGTTCCACTCAGAAGGAGCCCAGCACACTTCCAGGCATATTTTTCGAGTTCAGGACAGATTGCTTACATAGACCAGAAGATATGTCATTCTCATGTCCAGGCCTATAGGCCTATTGGCTCGTTTGTATATTTACATAGCATTTTTTAAAAAACATTTTATTGATTTTTTACAGAGAGGAAGGGAGAGGGATAGAAAGTTAGAAACATCGATGAGAGAGAAACATAAAAACCATTTTCATAAGGAGTGACATGGTTTTTAGATGAGCACACAAGCTAGTTAAACAAAACTTGGAGAAGGCAGGGAAGTGGGGGAACATGAATCTGTTTCTCCTGAAGGTAGTGTTTTGAGTGCCCTCATTTAGGTACTGGAGATGTGCCCGCAACCAAGGTACATGCCCTTGACCGGAATCGAACCTGGGACCTTTCAGTCCGCAGGCCGATGCTCTATCCACTGAGCCAAACCGGTTAGGGCTACATAGCATTTTAATCCAGATTAAAATAGCTATCATTTATTGCATGCCCACTATGTGCCAAGCACTGTGCCAGGCATTCTATCAGTCAGGTGCCATTATTGTCCTCATTTTACTGAGAATGGAAGTGAGCCACACAGATGAATCACAGATCTTGTTCAGGGTCCATAGTCTTGTTTTCGCTCTATTACACTGCCTTTTAGAGGCAAATGTGGAAGCTCAGAGACAAGTTCAAACTCTGGAGTAGTGGGTATGTAGTGACTTGAGGTTCTGAATCTTTTTTATCCCATCCCTTCCTTTGCTTAGCATCTTCAAAGCCATGGGGCAGGTCCTGCCAGATGAGGATCAGAAGAAGCTGCTGCATATCTGTTCCATTTATACCCAGAATGGAAAAAACAGCCTGGTGGAGGATGGCTCAGAGGCCTCCCCTATTGGAAAGTCGTGCATACACACTGGACAGCCTGTATTGGA